TCACACTAAGGTGTGATTAAAAAATATATAAATAATCACACTTTAATTAGAATGTGTGGTTAAAAAATATATATATAATCACACCTATTTAAAAGTGTGATTAAAAAGTAGTAGTGTATATATAATCACACTTTAATTAGAAGGTGTGATTAAAAAATATATAAATAATCACACTTTAATTAGGATGTGTGATTAAAAAATATATATATAATCACACTTGTTTAAAAAGTGTGATTAAAAAATAGTAGTGTATATATAATCACATTTTAATTAGAAGGTGTGATTAAAAATATATATATATATAATCACACTTAATTGAAAAGTGACATAAAAAATAAATATTATCACACTCAATCAAATTAAGTGTGATTAAAATATCAATCTAATTTTTTTATTACACTTTCAATAAAAATGAGATCTTTTTTTTTTTTTATCAAAGTGTGATCTTTAACTATTTTTGTAGTAGTGGGTTCGCCCAATCCTGGAAGGTTCATCCTACCAATCATATGTGTTGTCGGCCAGATGGCTAACCCCAAGGAGAGTGGAACTTGGAATCTCATGGCTTATGCCCCGAAGTCTTTACCAAAGTGCCACAGCCCCTTAGGTTTCGTATACCGTAATGAGAAAATGTCAATGAATTCCATGATGTGAACATTCACAAAATCAATATAATAGGACAAGGATTTTTGAAAATGTCTAACAATTGTCTTAGAGATATAATTATTTTTAATGGTTGAGATGAATCTAACCAATTCTTATCAATGGTTTAGATCAATCCTAAAATAAACAACACCTACCAAGCAAGCTTTGGTTCCATCCAAGTGAACGACACTCCCTCCTGTCTCTCTCAAACTTCTCCTCCCAAGAAAGGGAAGGAGTTATGCCGTTCGCGTCGGTTATTATGCGATCGTTCATGTCTTTAACTAAAAGTTGTGTGTTATATTTAGTTTGAAATTGGTGTTGTAATTACAATTCATCAATTTTAAACCATAAATCTTTCTGACATAGGTGGGTGTTTGGTTGGGTTAGTCATTGTGTGAGTTTTTATTTACTGTTTAATTTTTGACATGGGTTTGATTTTGAAATGAGAAATGAATTTTGAAATAGATTTTGTTTCTTAAATGGATGTAATTCTTTAAAAGGTTTTGGGTGCAAAATTATATTTGATCATTATGAAATGGGTTTCATTTTTTAAATGGCTTTTGATTTCTTAAATGATTTTTTATTTTTCTGACATGGGTTTAATTTATGAAATGGGTGTGATTCTTTAATAGGAAATGAGTGTTAATTTTTGAAAAGAAAATGTTTGAAACTCTTATACATCTTTCACGATTCAATCTACGATGATGTGATTTGACAAGTATTAGTTTTTTATTAGTTACACACTCAATGATATGAGATTTACCACCCTTGTCACATGATTGTGGATGTATTTAAGAGTGTAAATGTGGGTCTCCAGTACTGTTATTTTTTAAATGAGTTTTGAATGGATTTAATTTTTTAAACCGTTTTGGGTCCAAAGTCACTTGATCATCAAGAAATGGGTTTCATTTTTAAAATGGGTTTTGATTTCTTAAATGAATTTTTTTTTTTCAATTTGATTACATGGTTTTGATTTATAAAATGAGTTTGATTCTTTAATGAGAAATGTGTGTTAATTTTTGAAATGAATTTTGATTTCCTATGGTTTTGAAAAGCTTTTGATTTACGAAATGGGTTTTAATTTATGAAATTAGTTTAAAATATTTGTTGTATATATAGGTGTGCTCAAGTGGACAAAGCCAAATCACTTTTAGTTATAATAAAACCATCACAATGGATCATATCTAAATCGCAACTGTTTCATAATTGTTCATAACTTAAAAAAATAATTAAATTTGAGACCCACAACAACAATGAAAGTGTGCTTTGCTTTGTTTGGAAGCTTTATATATTTATATTGAAATTATTAGTCGTTAAATTTGATATTTTAATTTTTTTCTTGCTTTTTCTGGTTCATTTTTAGCTCAAGTACTTTTCATGTTTGTGTTGTGAGTCATAAGTTGCAACATACTCTTTAATTTTTTGCAAATTTAAAACTTTGCTGGGACTATTTACTTTTTTTTCTTCCTTTTTTTTTAATTAATATTTTTTCATACATTGCATGCCATTTTATGGTGTACAATAAATTGTAGGGACATTTATACACAAGTTCTAATTTATGAATTTATATTCCATTAGTTTTAACTAAGATTTTTTGGACATTCAAGTTCCATTAAATTTTAAATAGTCGAAATTACCCTTCAAACAATAATTGTTCATCATTTATGATTTTCTATAATTAGACATTTATTTTGATTTTCAAAATTTTAAAATATCCACTTTCAAATTGACAAAAACTAAAAAATATTATGGGCAATGTTTTTTTTTTTTTTGAAAAAATTGAAAAAACAGAATTATTTTTTTGTGCAAAATTGAAAATTTTGTATTTATAAAAGAGCATGATGTTGGAACATTTTATGTGTAAAACTGAAATTTAATAGAAAAGTTACTAGAGTTCTATTGTTGATCATTAGGTTCATTTTGAATGAGTTTTAGGTTTACTAAGTTTATGTTTGTGTGTGTATATATTATATACGCCTTTTGAATTAGGGAAAATGGTAAAACTCATAAAACCAAATGGGTTTTTTGTTTTTCCTGTAGGCTTTGAAAGAAGCCTTTGAACAAGTTCAACTGTGTTCCAGGCTGGAGGAACTTTTACTAAAGAAGAAACTCTTAAACAACGGGGATGCTCCAGAGATTCATGCAAAAAATGGATGGTTTTCCTCTTGATGACAGTGTTTTCTTGATTAATATGCAGGTTGATAAATTAAAAATTTTATCAGAATCGCTTGCTAACTCTGCTTCAAAAGTTGAAAAGCGTATTTCAGACCACAAGTTATTAGCTTTACCTATCTTTATTTGTTTTTGTATAGTAGTGCACCTCTTCCAAGAATGCGTACCACACCTCGAAATAGTTCTTTCTTCCTTGACATATGAAAAGAAAGAGCTGGGAGGTAGATTACTGTTGTGGTCTTATTAGCTACATGCCTACAGAGATTTACCTGAAAGATGCATTCACATTTTTCAAGGCTATTAGACATGTTCTTCAATTAGTGCAATTTTTTACAACTCTAAGAAACAAAAAATAGAAATCTAAATTTCTCATGGATATCTTGGAGGTTTTCCTGACATCTAATTTTATTGGCTAATGTTATGGATCACAAACGTCTAATTCCCTCCTTTCCCAAAAGAAGATGAAAAAAGAAAAGAAAAGAAAAGAAAGGAGAAGAAAAAAAGTGAGAATATTTTTATTAATACTGTTTATAAAAGCACCTATAATGAGGTGCATCATTTTTCATGTTTCTGACTGGTAATGTGTGCTTCAGGTCAAGGATCGTCTTTGATTATATGTGTGGGAATATTGACTGGCTACACAGATACATTATACAAGGACTTGAGTGGTAAGACACTACTTCAGCTTCCAAAACTCTATGGTGCAGGCCATAGACAGGAGAGTTACAATATGTACCTCTTCTGGATCACAATGATTGACACACTATGGCAGAGCCTTGTTCTCTTCTATGTACTTTTATTCACCTATAGGGAGAGCACTATTGACATATGGGGCATGGGAAGTTTGTGGACGATTGCAGTTGTTATCCTAGTTAATATGCACTTGGCAATGGACATTAAGCGGTGGTTGCTACTTGCTCATTCTTTAGTTTGGGGATCAATAATCATTACTTATGCCTGTGTGGTGGTATTGGATTCTATACCCATCTTCCCCAATTACGGGTTAGTGTTTTGATTCAAATAGGACCCCTGCATATTTTGTCCACTTCACAATGTGGAGCTAATATGTTTTTTTGTCTTCATCAGGACAATATACCATCTGGCAAAGTCACCTGCATATTGGCTCTCCGTCTTGGTTATAATAGTCTTAGCATTACTCCCTCGCTTTATTGGGAAAGTTATACATTAAAATTTTTGGCCTTCAGATATCCAGATAGCTAGAGAAGCTGAGATACTGAGAAAAGAACCTAATTATTTTGGGTCTAAGCCAGATCCAGGTTCCAGTTAATATGTATATACCTTCCTTGCTCTCTGTCTCTGTGGTTGGAGAAAAATAATTCTCACCTATGGGCATGAGCTTTCTCGAACAGTAACTAGCCATATGTTAAACCCCATGGTCAACCCATTTTCTCACTTTCATCATCATCATCTTAGGACTTGAGCTACCATTACATTTATAAATAGGACTTTTAAGTTATTAGCTCTAAATTGTATATGTTTACTCCATAATTTGCATTGAGAAGAGAGAGAATTGTTATTTTTAATTGAGTTCTGTAGAACGTGTGATACAAGAAAAATTGTTAGATCCATTTAATCTTGATATACTTAAAAAGTATAAAATTTATACAAAAATCGTTAGCAAAAGTAATTAAATACAACAAAATACGAAAATGTATTTAACTTTTGTATTTCTTTTGTTATTTTTTGTATTTGATGAATTGCTTTTTTTTTTTAAAAAAAAAATCACAAATATTATACCTTTTAAATATATATAGATTAGTTGCATATAAAAAATAAAAATTTCGCAGAAAATATTAAAAAATCACTAAAAATAAAAATAAACCAAAAAAATCAATTTTCAGAAAAAACATGTAAACCAAACAAGGTGAATATTTCTTCATATTTTTTAGTGTCTTTATAAAAACTATTACAGACTCCACAAATTTCAACATAATACATATAAATTTTAACTACATTTAGATCACAACATTATTTACAACATGCCTTTAGGAATGGACATACACTAATAGTCAATAAAGACAAAAAAAATGTTAAAATAGCCAATAAAGGGGTGTTTGGGATGCGCTAAAATAGCTCATCCCAAGCTAAAATAACTAATAAAACAAAACATCACATCATATTACTCTCTCTAGTTTTTACACCTCTTTTTTTGTAAAAAGCCAAATAATCTATTCCCAAGTGAGGCGTAAGGCAAAATGTCACATTATACACATCAATCAATTATTTTTTTTCTCACAACCATCTATTCAACTACAAAAAAATTACAAATCATCCCAAACACAAATTTTTTTCATCCCATAAAATAGCTAAAAAGCCAATTAAAACTTTTTTTTCCATCTCATAAAATAGCAAAAAAACCAACTAAAATAACCAAGTTACAAAACGAGGCCTTAAGCTTCGTTTGATAACATGAGTTTGTAGTCAAAAAATTAAAAAATTACTATAAGTTATCGCATCACTCTATTTACCTGTCTAGTTTTTTTGTTTTTTGTTTTTTATTTTTTTTTTGTCTTTGCGGTAAAAAGTCAAAGTAAAAAATCCAACTAAAATAACCAATTTCTTATCAGAATCTTATTAAACTTAAAAATTTATTCAAACTTACTTACTGAGCTGATATTGAACCACCTGTTTTTAAAGAGTTGACCGAGTAACCTTAGTTGATTTAAGAGCAGATCACATAGCTTTCAAATAATGAATCTACAGCCCGATTGTTTCATCCCCAAATTTCGATCCTTGAGAAAATAGGGGAGTAGTAACAGCTTATTCATCCCCAAATTCAGATTCTTAAGTTCCTCTCAGGGAATGTTCTTCATGTGTTTGTGTTTTTGTTTCTATGATATGCATCAACAATGTTGATATGTGTTTTTCCCCAATTTGATTTTATGATACAGATAGTTTTGTGTTCTCTGAACTTTGTAGTAGTGATGAAACATTTCTATGATTCTCAAGAAAGAAAGAAAAAAAAAATAAAAAAGAAAAAGAACATACCCTGCCTCCTCAAGTCTAACAAATGGTAAAGATGGAAATTTGAGACTATTGGATGGCATGAACAACACTGTCTGGTTGACAAATGCTTCTGTCCATTCCAACAACTCAATTGCAGTGCTTTCAGAAAAGGGAGACCCTACTCTTAAAGATAGTGTCTCTGGATTGACCTTATTGGAGAGCTTTAATTATCCGTGTGAAACTTTTTTAGCCCTGCATGATGCTAGGACTGAACACAAAAACCGGAGAGAAACACTTCCCATCTTCCTGGAAGACAGAAGACGACCCATTGCCTGGAAAGTTTGTTTGTGGGATTACACCAGAGACATCACCTCAAGCTTTCATTTGGAATGGTTCCAAGCCTTACAGTAGAAGTGGTCCGTGGGGCAGATCGAATTCATAGGCATACTGGGCACTGCCCGGATATTCCAATTGATTTAACCTCCTACGCGATAATCAGCAGGGAAGTGTGTACCTCACATTGGGCGCTTATAACAACTCTTCTGTCAGCATTGTGGTCTTAGCATCGGCAGGAACTGTGAACATAATGCGCTGGGATGAACAAGTCAAGAGATGGCACGTTGGTTGGACTGTACCGGTGCATCCATGTGATACTTATGGGGTATGTGGACCTTCAGGGCTTTGCAATAGAGATCAATCTCCAAATTGTGAGTGCTTTAAAGGGTTTGTACCAAATTCAACTGAAGATTGAAGGAAAGGGAATTGGGCAGGTGGTTGTGTGAGGAATTCGGCAGGAACTGTGAACATAATGCGCTGGGATGGGATGAACAAGTCAAGAGATGGCATGTTGGTTGGACTGTACCGGTGCATCCATGTGATACTTATGGGGTATGTGGACCTTCAGGGCTTTGCAATAGAGATCAATCTCCAAATTGTGAGTGCTTTAAAGGGTTTGTACCAAATTCAACTGAAGATTGAAGGAAAGGGAATTGGGCAGGTGGTTGTGTGAGGAATAATGAACTGCTATGCCAAAAGAACACTACCAGCTTAGCATCATCAGGAAGGCTCACAATGATGGGTTTTGGAAGCTGACAAGTATGAAGCTGCAGGATCATTATGTGTATTTGTACAATGAGGGTTCCTCGGGATGCTAACAGTGGTGCCCAAGTTTGTTTGGACTAGAGGCCTCATGGATATTCAGAAGATTCCATTTGCCCGGAATGACCTCTACCTTCGCCTTTCCTATTCAGGTCCGGGTAAAGTCACTTGTTTTGCTGCCTTAATAACTTTGGATTAGTAAAATCATTTGTATTATAATTTGTTCTTCATTTTATTTTTCTTCTTTTTATATTTCATTTTTTGAAAAAGTAAGAGAAGTCAAAAATTCATACGTCAGCTTTACAACAATTTATGGGGTTGTTCTCTTGGGAACCTTCATGTATTGGAGAGAAAATCAAAAAGGCAAGAAAGCTATAATATAATTGAATTGCTCATTTTATGTTTTAGTATTTGATATGGGTATTTTATGCAGAGTAAATCAACAGGGACATTCCATTTGCTTCTGAAACTAATTTGACATATCCATCAATTTTCTCTCTCCTCTCACAGAAAATAATGATTTCTATTTCATCAAAGGGCTCTTTATTCTTTTAGTACAGTAAAAATTCAGTTTTGTTGTCGATAATACAGCAATTCTACTCTAATATTCAGATAAATTAAAAGAGTCTTTAAGTTTAATGAACCACAAGTTTTATAATTTACCATACAACCAGAACAGTATAAGTTAAATTAAGGAAAAAACCAGAACAACCAGAACAAAACTATATAACAATTAGAACAACCAGTGAAGTCAGAACAGAACAACCATAAAATAGAACAGCCAAGAACAGAAAACAACCGGCAAATAACAACCAGAACAGAAAATAACAAGCAGTGGGGGAAAAAAAAGTAAGAAAAATAACCAGAATTGAAAAAATAACAAACAGGAAATAACTAAGAAAAAATATATTAGATGAAAAATTAACAAGCGATAATAATGAAAACAAGCGACCGTCACAAATCTATATGGTTCAACAAGCAACCATGATTATTATTAACATATTCCAAATATATTGGTCTTGAAGGCACATATCAGAAATCTAAATAATTTGTTGTTCTATGGTTCAATTTGAACGTCAGTGAAGAGAAAAATCGGGAGAGAGGACTTCATCGGCTTTGATAAAATATTAGTCGCGACCAATAGCTTCAGCAAAACAAACAAACTTGGGAAAGGAGGATTTGGAAGAGTTTATAAGGTAATTATATTCTTTTCTTGCATATATGTATATGAGTTGAATACATGCATAGGTATCCCATGTACTTATGAAGCGAAGTCTTACATCTAGGTACTAAAGCAACTATTAGCCATCAATTTTCATGTGAAGTATATAAGCATGAGGGTACCCTCTCTTGAATAGCTAGCTTTTGGGGTTGAGATCTATACAAGACCATGTAAGATGGTATCAGAGCTCTGCTTGAGAAAGGTCTTTGGTTCAAGTCTATTTGGTGACATTTCGTATTTTGTCCCTATTAGGTTTCTTCTCTGTTTGTCTCTGTAAGTGCGAGATGAGGTTGCTCCCGAAGTGCCAAGGATGGATAGGTTTCTACCCCCATTTGGTTTCGTCTTCTCTACTAGTTGTTTGTTTCTTTTTTCGTTTGGTTCTCTATTTGTCTTTCTACATGCAAGATGGGGTTGCAGTCGGAGTACTAGGAATGGGTAGGGTGCGTGTCCCTTGCACGTGGTTGATGTTGTCTAGTGATCACGTTGGGCGTGAGGGAGAGTGAAGCGAAATCTCTCAATGCTTGGGTACTAGTGTAATGTATAGTATAAAAATGTGAGGGCACTCTCACATTAATACCTAGTTTTTGGAGTTGAGTTCTATCCAATACCTAGGTGCTAAACCAATGTTAAGTAGATAAGCGTGAGGGCACCCTCACCTTATCATGAAACAAACTAACAAAAATTGTGAACCACAGGGAATGTTGGAAGAAGGGCAAGAAGTAGCAATGAAATGACTTTCAAGACATTCAAGACCATGCCCGGCCCTGAGTTTTCAAGGGCCTAAGGCGAAACCAAAAAATGGGGCCTATATTCACTATCAAAAAATAAAATAAAAAAATAAAAACCTTGTTTGGCACCACTACCGCTGATTGATACCAAAATAGTGTATTCATTCCAGAGTACCAGAAAAAAAAAAAAGGTTACGAAAAGGTATAGTTCAAATCAACAAAACAAATTAATTAATCAACAAATATAATTAATGAAATGTTCTAGCGGTCTGAAGCAAACACAAATGATTATATATTGTGTTAAATTGAAGAGTGGGATAATAATTTTGCTTCACCAGCAGAGTGAAGCAAACATAAATGAAAAGGAAACATGACTATATAATCAATTTTCCACGCGAAACACACAATCTACTCATTGTCTGATATCTGATAGCAAAGAAATTATAGAACATAATTTAATGAAACAAAATTAGGGCAAAAAAATTAGGGAAACTTTATTCAATTAAAATATGATAAAGACATAGGGTAAACAAATTTGGGTAAAATTATTTATTCCATTAAATCAGATAGTTTATGAGAGAGAAAAAATTAGGACAAAATTATTTATTCCATTATTCGGGTCAACTATACTTGTATATGTTTTAATACATTTTTTTTTTCAGTTGGGCCTAACCACATTTGTGATTAAATGTTTTTTTTTTTTAATTAGGCCCAACGGATTTTTTTTGAAATCCTTTAAACTGGCCCTAAATCAACAAAAACAAATTGGGTCTATTTAAATTTTGAATATACTACTAGTGAATTTGGGGGCCCTATTTTTAGGCCAAATTTTGGGGCCTAAGACACAAACCTTAGTGGCCTTAGACCAAGGCTGGCCCCTGTTCAGAACAAGGCGTAGAAGAGTTCAAAAATCAGATCATATTGATCTCCAAACTCTAGCAGAGGAATCTTGTTAGGCACTTGGGTTGGTGCATTGAAGGCGAAGAGAAGCTGTTGGTTTATGAGAATATGGCAAATAAAAGCTTGGGCACTTTTCTCTTTAGTTAGTTTTACTTGGTGTTTTCTTTTACCTTGTAAAATTAATAATGGCAAATTACGATGGTAGTCCTGTACTTTGATCATTGTGTCATTTTAGTTCCTGTAATTTCAATTGGCTCGATTTTGACCCTGAATTATGATTTTGTCTCAATTTAGTGTAATTGATTACAACTCTTAACATTTCTTTATTAATTGTCTTAACTAGGCACATTTTATTTACACTCTCAGAGAAGTAAAATTATTTTCTTTAGAAAAACTAAGAAGGCACATTGTAGATAATGTATCAATAAATAAATAAATCAATCAAATATCAAAATTTTAAGTCTCATCTTTCTCCATGTTTATTGTTCATAGCTCATTCAATATTGTTACTACCACTAAGGAACGAAATTTTATAACTTGTATTCATCCTTGTTCTCTTATTCTCATTGGAGGTAAAATGTATGGAAAAGAATGGCTTTGATGAATGCATTTTTTTTTTTTGATTCATGCTTTTGGTTAGATGCAACGAAAAGGGTGCATCTTGATTGGGCTAAACACTTCCACATTAGTTAGGGTATTGCTAAAGGGCTTCTTTATCTCCATCATAATTCTTATTTAAGGGTTATTCATTGAGATTTGAAAGCCAACAATATTCTCTTAGATGATGACATGAATCCAAAAATTTTAGACTTTGGGCTAGCCTTAACTTTTCAAGTGATACAAGAACTAGCGAACACTCATAGGGTGGTGGCAACAATGTAAAGATGTTTTCTTTCCTTTGGTAGATTTTACTCGCCTTTGCCAATTATTTTCCCTAGTGATGCAGTTATGTATGACATGGAAACATTTTATGTTTGAAATACTACAAATAAAAGTTTAATGGAAATAAGCACTAGTAGGGATCATAACAGGTTCATTGCTTTGAAATGGGCTTAAAATATATCTTGGATGGTGTAGACACCCCATTTTTGACTGACCTTAAGACTTGGGCGCTACTGATGGTTTACTCGGTGATGAAAGATGTGCAGAGCAAAGGTTCAATTTCTTCGGCAAGAGGAGAGTCATATCCTAACCTCACACCCCATTTTGGACCAAAGCTATTTTGGATGGTTTTTAGACCTTAAAACCCTCTCTTTCAAAACATTTTTAAAAAAGAAATTTCTACGATGTTCCGAGGCTCGCATTTTGTCAAATGATGCGCTTTTCGGTAAACCGAGCAAGGACAAAGTGGAAATGAATGAAAGAGAGATGAAATCTTTGAAAAAAATTTCAAAACACCTTGTTCAAGGGTTTGGAGTTGAAGAAAACAGGAGAAGAGGGAAGAAACCCAGTTGGGGAAGGAGTTGGGCATGAATCGTTAAGAGAGGGTTGAGCAGTCCTCGCCAAATCAGGCCTATCCTTTTGAATACTTGGATTTCAGCTATGAGGCCACCACCGTTGGAAATCTTACTTCCGGGGCTTCATTTTTCACTTAAGAATCTCCTAAGGCCGAGTCCAGATGGGGGAGAAATGATTGGCTGAAGTTGGGCATCATTTCGGTTGGACCAAAACTAAGAAGCCTTCACTAAAAGAGGAATATCTCTTAGCACACATGGAATTTTGACATGAGGCTTCCAAATTTGGAAAGAAGACTTCTGGGGCTACAGTTTAGGCTCAAGAATGACCTGAAAATGAGTCAAGATG